CCGCCCTCGGTCCGGCTCCTGCCCCGTTTCTAGCGAGGTCCGCCCTCGGTCCGGCTCCTGCCCCGTTTCTAGCGAGGTCCGCCCTCGGTCCGGCTGCCTGCCCTGTTGTTCGTAGCGAGGTCCGCCCTCGGTCCGGCTCCTGCCCCGTTGTTCGTAGCGAGGTCTGCCCTCGCTCGGCTGCCTCCACCTCCGATGCCGCCCAGCGGCCAGGGCTCTGCAGGCGCCTGTCCTTGCTCAGACCTCACACCTGTGCTTAGCTCTTTGTTGCACCTTTGACTCCTCTGCTGGCGCCGCACCCTTGCCCCCACCATTCCACTTCCTTGACCTCAGACCCCCTTCCAGGTGGAGCTCTTGTGCCCCCGGCCGCTGCGTACCCCTGCTCTCTGCTTCTCAGATTCTTGTTGGACTTGCAGTAAGTCCTGGCTGTTCCACGTCCGTGTGTTAGCTTGTCTCCCACCCCGGGGGCTCAGAGGGGCCACGCTGAGGATATGCTCCAGGCCTGATCCTCTCTAGGGGTCACTCATCAAGTCCCCACAATGGCTCTGAGGCGCATCAGAGCACCGGGTTCGGGGAGATGGGTGAGACACTCAAGCCCGTGGCTGATGTGTGCCAAGGAGGCAGGACCTCACCCTCTGGCCAGGAGGCCTGTGTCCTTGCTCGGGCACCGAGGCCATCCCGCGTGCGTTTCTCTCGCCTGAAGCAGATGCCCAGGCGGCTAATCAACATGAACAAATGCAGGATGGGCTCATGGTTTTCTTTGGCTTTTCAGGAGTGTGGATAAGGAAAGGAGCTATAGTCTGGAGGGTGACGGTGCTCTGGCCAAGGCTGTGCGGCGCTACCTGCCATACCTGGAGGCCCTGTCGCAGGCGGCTTCGAACACACGCCCCAGGACGAGGCACGACAGACCATCCGCTCAGGTGACCCTCGCAGCTCCCTCTGTGGGCTGGGCATGTCTTACCTGCCGCGTGCAGTTTCCTCTGTGTGCACACACAGGGCTGACCTCACAAGTCCTGGGCACTTCCTGGTTTCTCTCCTGTGTCCCGTGCAGCATGCACCCGGACCCCTTTACAGTTGCACACGCACGCTCGCTAGTCCAGCAGTGGTGGCCCTCCCACCGTCAGTGCTGAGGGCCCTCAGAGCCAGGGGCCGTCATGCATCCCAAGGAGGGGGTTTGGGCAGTTGTTGGAAGTCCAGGGTGATTGTGGGCATGCTGGATATTTGGCAGCCCTGCACATGCTTCTTTTTTAGTTATGTCCACTGGGATTTGACGTATGTCCCTTTCCACGACTGATGCATGGCTTACAATAGTCCTCTTCCTCCGAGGCCCTGTTGGGGCTTCAGCAGAAGATGGTTGTGGCTCCAGGAAATACGGGGGAAGCAACGTGGGTCCCTCTTTGATTATTTTCCTGTCAAGAAGCCACTGAAATCACTAAAGCCCACTCTGGGCTGGGATCCCGGTAGCACCCCCACACACTTCTTTAGAGGGCTCACTGCTGATGAGGCCGCAGAGTTGCCTTCACACGGGAGTGGACTTTGAGTAAGTACAGAACCAGGTGCATGTTTTCCTGGGTGCTGCGACCCTGCAAGTTAGGTGTGGGCTGGGAGCTCCCCCACAATCACATTTCCACCCTGGGTCGACGCTTGGCATCTGCCCTGATAGTGGAGGTCTTCTTCAGTCCTCACAGGTGAGCCCCTAGCGGGAGAGAGTAAGATCATGCTGGGAGGGCCCCCACGCTGCACTTGGCCCACGCCCACTCTGGCCTGGACCCCTGGCCAGCTTCTCAGTGCAGACCTTAACCCTGGAGGAGCTCACTTAACACTTTTTTTTTAAATGTTAAGATTTTTTACTCATTTGCTGATACTGACTAAGCACTTTCTATGAGCTGGACACTCAGCTGGATGCTGTGGGGTGAAAGATGGGATTGTCATGGTGTCACAGACCTGTTCCTGGAGGAATTGGCAGTGGGCAGATGTGGTGGGCGAGACGCTGGATTCAGAACCAGTCCCACCAGTGCTGTGTGTCCTTGAGGAAGCTGCTCAGCCTCTCTGTCCTGGGGGCCCTGGCTGTGAAGTTGGGTCATTGTGAGGATTAAGCAAGACAGTACACATCGAGCTTTCAGGGAAGGCCTCAATTAATAGTAGTTATTACTTCTCATCATAAATAGTCTTCAGACACAGTGAAAGTAGGTCAGGAGTCTGGAAACCTCTGCTGATTGTTGGAGTCCCCGTCTCCCGAGGAGAACCGAGGACCCAGCTGTGCTCTGACACGGGTTCCGTCCGCGCTCCAGCACCGCACAGCCGGTCCCACCTGTGTACTCCCTCCACCACACACTGGAAAACCAGCATCGCCCCCAGGTCCTGAAGATGAGTAATTCAAGTACGTACAAACCTAAAAGCATCGTTTCGTCTGCCTCCTTTTCCTCTGATGTGTCTTTATCAAAAGGGACACGAAGCTTCCTGCTCAGCCTTGGCTTCTGCTGTGGGTTTCTGGGCTTCTGTAATGGAGACATTGCCTCATGTCCCTGTGTGTTGGACCCCGAGCAGGTTGTGGAGGAGGGAAGGGCAAGAGAGTCATTAAAATTTCCCAAGACTTGGAAGATTCAGAAGATGCTGAATGGAGGAACCAGCTGGAATTTCTCTGTGATGCGGTTCACCATGTTCCCCTAAGTCCGGTGATTTCTCCGCTGGCTGCCAAACCAGAGAAGGAAGGCGGGCAGGCTCCAGGGCAGCGGCTCACCTCTGTCCCACAGGGCGCTGGTGAAGCCTCATCAGCCAGCCCCCTTGGTGCAGTGGGAGCCTTGGCGTTCATTCTGAATCCAGCACCATGTTTCCCCTTCAGTGTCGTCATCACTCTCTTAGCCCTGCACTAAAATGAGAGAGTCAAGTTGGGAACAGAATTTGCTCCCTGGACATGGAGGGGCATGGAAAGCACCTGGATTCGCAGCCGTATGCCGTGCTGTTAGCACCCTGCTGTCAGTAACCCGAGAGCATGACGTCAGGCTCAGAAATCACCTGCAGTCAACTGTGCAGCCTTGTGAAGTGGGACTTCTGAGACTCCCGCGGCCTGTGCCAGGAGTGTTGGGAGGGGTTGCGGCCATGTGGTGGGAGGGGGCTAATAGCAGGTCCTGGGGGCTCTCGGGTGGTCGGCACGACCTCCAGGTGGTGAATAACTCTGCCACCTCCGCCTCCGTGGACCCTGTCAGGCCTGAGGTGGTGGGAGGGTGTGTGAGTGTGTAGCTTCCTTACACTGGCGGTAGGGTTTGCTGCAGTGCCCTCTTCCAGCCCTGCTCCTACCCTGTGATTCCACCACCGAGCGTCGGGACACACATCCTGGGATTGCTCTCGAGGCAGCCTTCCCTTTCTGGAAGAAAGCGTGACTGCTGTCTTTGCATGGACCTGAATTCCTTCGAGAGCCTATGACTGAGATGTGGGGCCATTGCCTCTGACTCTACCCTAGGGCCACTGGAGGCAGAGGGAGAGGTGGTATCCATCCCTGCCTGCACGCCGTTCCAGAAGAGCCAAGTGGGAGAGGGGGGCTGCCACTGGCCTCACCACACATTGCATCCATTTGACCCTGCCAAGTTTGGCTTCCATTGTCCTTAAACACCCACCCAGTAGGAGGGCCATCCTCCGTAGTTTGTCTGGGCACTGTCCCTCACAGATGTCCTGATCTGAATCATGGATTCTGCAGTCATGCTACCACATGGCCATTTTACCACCACAGTCACAAGGATTATGCAGGAAATGAGCACTTAGAGAAGAAAAGAAAATGAGCACTTAGTGGCATTTTTGGCTTAGGCTTTTTTCTTCTATGTTGAGATAGATGCTTCTCACTATTAAAAAATGCATTAAAACCTAGAACTTGTTATTTTCTCTGTCCAGTGCCCTCTCTCTGATGAACAAAGCCTGGATAAAGCAAAGGAAGACCGTGATCAGATGTTACTGAAGCTACTGTGCAGACTTCGTTGGCACAAATGTACAGCCAGCCCTGGCTTTGAGCAGGGTCTTCTGCTCTCCACCCTCTCAAGGGATGAAAATCTAAGTTGGAAATTTAAGCTTTATACACCCATGACCTTTCAAGGTGCAACCAATTTCCAATGAGTTATTTTATAAATAATCTTTTTCTATGTACCTTGAAAAGCCTACTCTAGCATAGGTCAGAGAAACATTGTGGATTTATTACCTTTAGAGGCTCGACTGCGAATTATTTCCTGACAGAAGCCAGAGGGAGTCAAACAACCTTGCGGCTCTGATGCATGGTTGAACTCTTCTCAGTCGGTGTCATCGCTCCCCGTGTGTTGTCTGTCAGGGGTGCAGGCAGCTCCTATTTCTCCTGACCACGGCAGCATTGGTTAAGTGTCCTTGTCGTCACTGTAGAGAACACAGGAAATTCTCAACTTACACTATGCTGTTGAGGAGATTAAAACTGAAATTCATCACTTGGAAATGCTGTGAATTAACTGATTTATTTTGGAGATGTTGTCTCAGCATTTTTCACGTTCAACAGGCTGCACTAGGTGCCACGGTTAGAAAGGTAAACCCGAGTCCTGCTGTTGGGACCTCACAAGTCCTCCCAGGTAAGGAAGACACACAGATGCAGTTAAGGATGGAACAGCACTGCACTGCAGGGAATGCTCAAAATAAAGGAGGCCCATGAACCAGACAGTGAGGGAGTCAGCGAGGGCTTCTCGGGTCGGGTACTGGAGGAGCATCCAGAAGTCACCAGGTGGCCTCAACGTGCAGAATGTCAGGAGACCACCCCAGTCCCACCTAAACAGCATGAACAGGCCAGGTGAGCTACCAATCCTAGCTTTTAGAAAACCCTTTGGATTGCTGATGATACAAAGAAACCCAAATGGATTGAATTCCAGAAAGTAATGAGGTCATTCTAGGGGAGAAGAGGCCCACTCCTTTCATACAGGCTGCAACAGCAGGAGGGGAACCAGCTGTAGGAGGGATGAAAGAGCAGGGCCCCAGCTTTAAGGAGCCATTGACCATGCATGGGGACTGGCATGGGGGGCAGGAGCCCCAGCAGCAGCTGCATGGAGCACTGAGTGTATGAGAAGACAGTGCACTGCAGGGGGAGACTGGGAGCACCAGACCCTTCTGAGCACCCCTCAGCAGCCCCCTGAAGGCTTGGGACAAGGCAGAGTGCTGGAAGAAGAGCTATCTTATGGGGAGCAGAGAGGTGGGGCCCACAAAATGGAATTGGCTGTAAATCAGAGACAGCTCTCATGCTCGGAAGAGTGGCAGACGTCTGCAGAGCATAAAGCCAGAGTCGCACTAGGGCTTAGATCCCAGTGCTGCCGAAGAAAAGGCCTGACCCCACCCTCGACATAACTATAGCCAGGAGTTACTGAATCTGACTCTGCAACAAAACCAAAGCCCATTTCAGGTGCAGCTCACATGAATTCAGCCCCACGATAGCAGACTGACAGGAGAAGGACTTGCCATTTCCCAGGGATAAATATTACTTCCTTCATTCTCTATTATTCTTCAGACAAAACCCAGCTTACAGTCAAGAACTGGGAGACATATGAAGGGGCAAGAAGATGGGACTCATGGTCAAGAGAGGGAAGAGGCAACAGAAGAATAAAGAATACCCAGATGTGACTCGGGTGTTGTAATGATTAGAAAAGGATGGTTTAATAATGAAATATATTAAAGGATTGGGTGGGAAAGGTGAAAAAACATAAATGAACAAATGGAAAACTGCAGCAGAGAGATGGAAACAATAAAAGAACACCAAATGGGAATGCTAGAATTGAAAGCAATAAGATCAGAAATAAATAAGTCATTTGATGAGTTTAGTAATGGACCAGACACAATAGAGGAAAGAATCTGTGAATTTCAAGTCAGGTCAATAGGAATGATCAAAAATGAAGCATAAAGAAC